CCAAGACATAGGGTACGTCTAGACTACATGCCTCTGTCGCCAGAGGCATGTAGATTAGGCTACCAGACATAGGAAAATGAAGCGGCGATTTAAAATAATCACTGCTTCATTTAAATTTACATGGCTGCCGCGCTGAGCCGACAAACAGCTGATCAGCTGTTTGTCGGCTCAACGTGATAGTCTGGACGTGCGGGCGTCGACATCAAAGGTATTTGTCGACCACCCAGGTATGCCTCCTGATCCTCTGTTTGTCAGCTCAGCGCGGCAGCCATGTAAATTTAAATGAAGCAGCGATTATTTAAATCGCCGCTTCATTTCCCTATGTCGGGTAGCCTTATCTACATGCCTCTGGCGACAGAGGCATGTAGTCTAGACGTACCCATAGTTTGCTGACCCCTGCCGTAATCCTTCACACTACTCTATATTGGTGAATGCTTCCATCAGCAGAGTGTAACTTGCAGGACCAGGCCTAGATATCACTTCCATCTGAAAACTGATCAGTAGCATAAATTAACTTCTAAGTGTTTGTTATTCGCACTGCTCCTTGAACATCTTCTATCACCATATTCCCTTGAAATTTTCTCAAATGGGAGGGGAAGAAGAAAGGAAGGGCTTACCGTTCAGCAAGGATTTCCAGTGGGGGTTTTCCTTGATCCCAGCTTCTCACCATCCATGCTGTATCAAAAGCAGCTAGGAAGCCTCTTGCACAGCCAGTGCCCATCGGCCAAAAGGGCTGTAAAGAGCATTTACAGTTTAGTATTTACATCTTTCTTTTTTAAAAAAAAGAACACTTATGACCAAAGCAGCTGCCATGTGGACTTTACAGGCTAAGTTATCACACATTTTTAAAAGCTAGGCCACTACTGTTCTAGTGTACAGTATTGCCAGCTCTCACACTATTTGGTGTTTTTTTCTCAAAGCCTCAGCTCCTGGAGTCATAAAAATCTGCATTTTTATTGGGTTTTTTTGTTGTTGTTTTTATATTTGTTGTCTGAAGAAAGTTTCCAGTTCTCATGCAGAGAACAGCTGGAAAACAAACTCTGAAACACTAAAAAACCAGAAGGGAAGTAGAAAGTAGGAAGCAGGAGACTGGGGAGGGCAGATATGATAGAGGTCTAAAAAAGCATGAGTGGTGTGGAAAAAAAGAATAAGGAAAAGTTATTTACTTGTTCCCACAATATAAGACCTAGAGGGTCACCAAATGAAATTAATAGGTAGCAGGTTTAAAACAAACAAAAGGAAGTTTTTTCTTCATGCAGCACACAGTCAACCTGTGGAACTCCTTGCCAGGGGATATTGTGAAGACAAGGACTTTAACAGGGTTCAAAAAAACTAGACAAATTCATGGAGGTTAGGTCCATCAATTACTATTAACCAGGATGGGTAGGAATGGTGTCCCTAGCCTCTATTCATCAGGGGCTGGAAATGGATGACAGGAGAGGGATCACATGATGATTACCTGTTCTGTTAACTCCCTCTGCAGCATCTGCAATTGGCCATTGTTGCAAGACAGGATACAGAGCTAGACCCAGTATGGTCTGACCCAGTATGTCTGTTCTTATGTTTTTATCCTATGTTTCTTATATAAAATCACATCTAATTTTTAAGCCAGCTTATCTCATGATGTTTTGGGATCTGAACATTGGGAATTGGGGTTACTGAGCACATTACTTGTTCACTCGAACGTATACTTCTAGCATCAGACTATCCTGCTTTGTATTTCTGATTGAGATTGTAGTCAAGGAAACTTTGACATAAATACCAGCTAAGGAATGGCTACTTGTTCACAGCTTATACCCAACTTGTTCACTCATGCAAGTAAACTTACACAGATGTGCAAAAACTACAAGGAGTCCTGTGGCACCTTAGAGACTAAGGCTACCTCTACACTATGAGATCTTCTGGCAAAAAATATGCTAATACGGGACTCATTTCCATGAGTTGTGATCTCATTAGCATATTTTCTGCCATATCTTTTTGCTCACAGGGTTTTTGTGCAAAAAGAAGCAGTGTGGATGGGAGGTTTTTTTGCGCAAAACCCTGTTTTACACAAGATCCATAAGAAAAATGTAAGAAAAATTGTTGCTTTTAAAAAAGTCATTTAAAAAGTTCAGAAAATATTTACAAGCTGCAAAACTAAGTGTTGTTACTAGACATTGCTAAATATGTGGCCAGCTCAGATGGCTTCTGAATTTTCTTAATTTTATTCTTTTCAGGAAAGATTTAAAGGTTAAGCCAGTGACCAGATAAGATTCACATTGCCATCTCCTGATTATTATAGTGTCAAAATAAGAAGTCTGAATGCATTTACCAAAGTACTTGAACCCAATTTAACAAAACCAAACCAAACGCCTTTTGCAGCATAAACATACTTTTACTTTAAGGAATTGAAAATGCTGTTTGTTGTTGCTGCTGGATATACCTCAAGTAAACTATCTCCCACAAGGGCTACTAACAGCTGATGTCTGTGCCTCTCTCTTAGTAGTGCAGCATTTTCAGAGGCATACATGGAAGTAAAATCAAACATAGCCACGTCTGGCTGCCCATAGTGATTAATCGCAAAATCCAAGGAAGGCAACTGATATTTGGTTGCAAAGTCTGCAGCTTCTCTTGCATAAGACAGCAGATTATCCTGGTTTACGTTTTCCCCAGAGAGAAGCATCTCGGTATCAATATAGTCCTAAAAAGACAAAAATAGATGCAATATGAGAGACTTTGAAGTATTCTGATGCAGGGCCAGAAAATAGCACATAGCAGATGCTAACATGGCATTTTGTGGCAAAGTATGGAAAGAAATTTGGGAGATACATAAATATTTAGAAAATGTGTTAATATATAAACTCAGTCCTGACATAATAACTCTATGCAGCAAGCTGATTGAGCATTATAACTTGCAATGGAAGATGGTGCTTTCTTCACTCTTCTTCCCTTAGCTACATATTATTTTGGTAAATGTACTACCCCCCTTGCATGTCCCATCACTATGGAGAATATTGCACTTTGGAACTTGAGGATCATCCCCAAGTACAATGAGTAATCTTGCATATGACCGGATATTGATGAGCCTATTGCCTAGAATTGTACATACATGGGTTCTCTGTTGTGTCTTGTACAGTATCTACAAATTGAGCACAGAAAGAGTTTGTTTGAAGCAACCTGCTCAACTTCACAGGGACCCTTTCTTTATAGATCATGCCGCTTAAGTTTACTGATAAGGAGACTTCTATTTCCAGTTTAATCATGGATGAGCCCCCTGACCTGCTACATACTAGATGACTGATGCTGCATAATCCATGCTCACTTAACTCTAGACAAGTTGCATTTAGCACTAAACACAAAGGCTACGTCTACACTGGCCACAATTTCCGGAAAAGCCATGCAAATCAGGTGAGTCAGGATAGGGAAATCTTTGAAGTAGGAATAAGAGATCCTCCGGAAAAGGGCTTTATTCCGGAGGATCGTGCCAGTCTAGACGCTTTTTTTCTGGCTTTTCCCCAAGCTGGAAAAAAAGGGGCCGACATGTTTATTTAAATCCGCGGGGGATATTTAAATCTCCCGCGGATTTCCCTATCCTGACTCACCTGATTTGCATGGCTTTTCCGGAAATTGTGGCCAGTGTAGACGTAGCCAAATGGACCATAGAAACAGTGTGGATGTGCCAGCTCCCTGTCACCAAACTCCACACATTCTAATTCCATAAAGAGGTTTTTTTGAACACAAATACTGTGAGAGTGTCCTGGGGATAGGATTTCGGTGAGAAAAATGATGGTCAATATTGTGCAAATGCCCTCACCACAACTGTATGCCCTTATTAGGGGATCCCTCTGCAATTGAGGGCAGAGGGAGAGGAACAGGAACATTTACCTGGATGGAGCAGTTTGAACAGGAAGTGGCTGGTTGACCATGGAAGAAAGGTTCACCTTCTCTGGTCATCTAAGGACTATGTCCTTTAAACCCCAGGCAGTTCCAGAGAAGACCATTCATTTGGACCATTTTGGGGGCACCCAGTACCAGGGAAGAATGGGCTACACTCATCTGAATGGGGAGCAAATAGTCTTTCACTAATGTCATATAAAATATTAGGAAATATTTGGGAACCCAGAAGAGATAGCAGGGAGGCAGCCAATTAGTTTCTTGGTATCAGATACTCCAGCACAGACACTCATTATGGAAAGAAAACGTATTGTATCCAATGGATTGGAAGGGGGTTTACAGGAAAGCAGCAATTAAGAAAGCTAAGTAGAAGGTTCATGTCTTGTAATGTCTGGCCCTTTGCTTTCAGGTCCCTGAGCTCTTAAATTAGCATAGGCATGCAAGGTCCAAGTGATGAGCTGCCTTGGATCAGACTGGGAAGGGGAGGGCTGATGTTGCCTCTCCCAAAGAGGTAAAATTTTATGATATCCTGCACTGTACAATTTTATTGCCAAACACTCCCAGATATTTTAAGTGACTCAAGATATAGCCTCTTCAAACTACATCCATTGCCTCCTGTATTTCTTCCTGCATGGCCAGACAATAGGACAGTGCGTTTAGAATACAGCTCCTTTGAAGATGCAGAATTAGTTTTGTGGCAATGCAAAAGGAACAGAAATTTGTATCTGTGGTTCTGTTGACAGGCATTTGGGTTTGCTCATTGTACATATGCCACACAAAGTTTAAAAAACAGAAAATCTAACGGTTGAATCCCAAGAGATCCTGTTGAGCTTCATTTTAAACAATTTCAGGGATTATTTCCAACAGGAAACAATCTGCTTGTCAGTCCCTAAACTGGAATGAAATGTTCTTACTGGGGAGGAGGGAGAGGATGAATAACTATTGGGGTTTATTCTTCAAGACTGATCCTGTCTCAGAAAAAAATGAGCTAAAGTTTAGGAAACGCAATGCATCTTTTGTTTCTTGGTTGCAGTATACTGCTGGAAAATCAGAGGCTCAGCCAGGCCTGCTGATGGGGGTTGAGGTGGGAGGGCAAAGGGGGCAGCTGCACTAGGGCCCAACGATTCAAAAGGGTGGGTGGCACCCTTCAGGCTGTGCGGCACCCTTCAGGCTGTGCTAAAGGGCTGGCAAGGGGAGACTAGGTCTCAGGCCTGCTCCTTCTGTGTGAGGCCCTACCCCTTTTGAGAGCATGGAGCTCTTCCCTCCCCTCCCCGCCTCCCTTCCCAATTCTATCAGCCTCCCTGGATTCAGTGCATGGCACACAATCCAATTACAGGCAGTCCCCGGGTTACGTACAAGATAGGGACTGTAGGTTTGTTCTTAAGTTGAATCTGTATGTAAGTCAGAACTGGTGTCCAGATTCAGCGGCTGAATCTGGACACCAGTTCTGACTTACATACAGATTCAACTTAAGAACAAACCTACAGTCCCTATCTTGTACGTAACCCGGGGACTGCCTGTAATTGGATTGTGTGCCATGCACTGAATCCAGGGAGGCTGATAGAATTGGGAAGGGAGGCGGGGAGGGGAGGGAAGAGCTCCATGCTCTCAAAAGGGGTAGGGCCTCACACAGAAGGAGCAGGCCTGAGACCTAGTCTCCCCTTGCCAGCCCTTTAGCACAGCCTGAAGGGTGCCGCACAGCCTGAAGGGTGCCACCCACCCTTTTGAATCGTTGGGCCCTAGTGCAGCTGCCCCCTTTGCCCTCCCACCTCAACCCCCATCAGCAGGCCTGGCTGAGCCTCTGATTTTCCAGCAGTATACTGCAACCAAGAAACAAAAGATGCATTGCGTTTCCTAAACTTTAGCTCATTTTTTTCTGAGACAGGATCAGTCTTGAAGAATAAACCCCAATAGTTATTCATCCTCTCCCTCCTCCCCAGTAAGAACATTTCATTCCAGTTTAGGGACTGACAAGCAGATTGTTTCCTGTTGGAAATAATCCCTGAAATTGTTTAAAATGAAGCTCAACAGGATCTCTTGGGATTCAACCGTTAGATTTTCTGTTTTTTAAACTTTGTGTGGCATATGTACAATGAGCAAACCCAAATGCCTGTCAACAGAACCACAGATACAAATTTCTGTTCCTTTTGCATTGCCACAAAACTAATTCTGCATCTTCAAAGGAGCTGTATTCTAAACGCACTGTCCTATTGTCTGGCCATGCAGGAAGAAATACAGGAGGCAATGGATGTAGTTTGAAGAGGCTATATCTTGAGTCACTTAAAATATCTGGGAGTGTTTGGCATGAGAAGTGATTTTGGGTGCCTAACAGGAGACATTTCAGAAAGTGCTGAAAATCAGTTTCTGAAAATCAAAGCCTGTGAAACCATGTCAGTTTGGGTACCCAACAATTACTAGGTACTTTGAAACTTGTTTATAAAGGCCAAGTTGTTTAGAAGTGACCCTCTTGTTGCCTTTCACCCATTTTGGTGTATTTACTATTTCAGCCTAGGATAGAGTCCAACACTATTTCAATTTGCTGGCTGAGCATACAGTTTTTTCTCATTTGATTTTTGAGTCACTGAGGTTTGTTGTCTTCAGAGATATCAATGCCTGCATAGCCAGTGACTCTTTCAGTGTGACTTAGGAATACATTACAACCAGTTTCTGAACTGATTTTTAAGCAGTACCATTTTCAGTTTCGAGTTCAGTGTTCTCACTGTACAAATTAAACAAACACAGGCAAACCACCATCTCAGTGATTCATACTCTATTCATAAAATGTTCAAAAACCAGTCAATTAACACTTTCCGTTCAGCTATTCTTTGCATCTATACTCACATTAATAATGACGCCTTTGTCCAGAAGACTCTGCTTTTTTGCTGTCATTACAAAATAGTGAGTGTTGTCTTTGTAATAAACTATATTCTCCAGATCAATTCCTGAAAAGACAACAAGACATTAGTGAAAAAAACCAAGCTGAAATGAATTGTCTTCATTTGTACCTGCAAGCGACTTTCATTTAAATTTATTTGAGATGCCTCCCAAACACAAATACTCGGAGTCCCCAACTGAGATTGCAGAGTGCACAGAACAAAGGCCCCCCCCCCCAGAATATGAGAAAGTCATTGATTGTCTGCAAAAATATTTCAGCTCGTATTAGCACGCTTAGTAATCTTGTAAGAAAGGGAAAATATGATCCATATTTGACACAAAATATGTAGGTTGCAATAGGTATAGCTATGGTGCCAATAAAATGCTTGTTGATTTAAATGGGACTAGGATCAAGCACATGGTGACCAAAATATTAATTTAAAATAGAGGCTGCAATATGGAAGTCCCCCTGAAACCACAGAATGGAAGTACAGGCAGTCCCCGGGTTACGTACAAGATAGGGACTGTAGGTTTGTTCTTAAGTTGAATCTGTATGTAAGTCGGAACTGGCCAGTTCTGACTTACATACAGAATCAACTTAAGAACCCCAGGCGTCCCCAAGTCAGCTGCTGCTGAAACTGATCAGCAGCTGATTCCAGGAAGCCCGGGGCAGAGCAACTCTGCCTGGGGCTTCCTGTAGTCAGCGCTGGTCAGTTTCAGCAGAAGCTGACTTGGGGACACCTGGGGCAGAGCAGCTGGGGTGCTGCTGGGTTACTCCAGTAGCGCTGCTCCTCGGTGCTACTGGACCAACCCAGCAGCACCCCGTCTGCTCTGCCCCAGGCGTCCTGATGCAGCCGCTGCTGAAACTGAACAGCGCAAGCCG